CGGGGTGCCCCCCTGAGTGTCCCCGTTCCCCGATGGCTTCCCGGCTTCTGCAGCTCGCTGTGGGAGCGCCTGTGAAGCCGGGCTTGTCCCCACGCTGAGGCTGCAGCTCACCGTGCTTTTTCCTCCAGAGCTGTGGCAGCAGCTCCTGCCCTCACCTTCCCTGCCAGCTGCGCGTTCCCAGCACAGCTGTTTTCATGGGACTACATGCTGAACGGGGGCCAATGAGCTGTTCTGGGTTAAAAATAGCCCTGCAAAAGAAAAAGGTTATTTTTATGCACCGCAGTTCACTGACCATGTTACCACGGGGGCCTGCGAACAGGGAAGAGCTAAAGTTCCACTGGTACCACACAGGAATGTGTGTGTGTCTGCGCATGCACAAATTAAGAGTGATGTCTCTAAGAAGGGAGCAATAATTACCACTTTTAGATCATTCTCCAAGATCTCTTAAATTCCAGAGTAAGGTCTATAGAGCCTGGATAAATGCGTATTGCATTCTGTTCCAGCTCTCCTCAATTCTGTGAGCTTTTTCCAGAAAGGAATGTGCTTTTTCAACTGTGTGGTCTCCATGTGGCAGCGCTTGCATGAACGCAATGTTAGAGCACAGCCGTCCTTAACCGTGCGGTGTTCCCGCCCGGCTGACAGCACCTCTTTTTCCTTGCAGGGCACTTTGGAGCCCTGCGACCGCCTCCTGATGGGACCCTGGCGTTGCGTCAGGTAACCGGGGCTGTGTTAACCTTCACAATATCCCAGGGGAAAAATACTCTGTCTTACAGGTGGGAGCCTGGGGTTCACCAAATGTATAAGAAAACACCAGGTGCTTGATTTCAGCTTATCTGGTGGTTTAACAAATGAACATCCTTCCTCCGCTGATCCTGTTCTCTCTCCAGATGGACTGTAGGTAGGAGCCAGGCATTATTTGGAAGCTAGAGGCCCAGTTTCCCTGGTGACATGTGGCGCTCGCTAGCCAGCTGCAGAAGTAGCACGCTTCCACGCCCAGGTTTTTTACAGATTTGAAAAGCTGCAGATCCTTGTTGAGAGCCCAGGACACTGGGGGAGTTAAATCACAGCAGCAAGAAAAGATGTCTGTTCCGTTCAGTTGTTCACAGACTTCAAACAAACCAGGACTATCTTAACAATGGCAAAATGCACCATTTTTCTGACTCCTGCCAGACCGCTGTAAAAAAATTCTCCTTTTCGCTGAGGGCCCATAAACTGCCCCTTTTCCCCTCCCTTCCCGGTCCCCACCCTTGTACCCCATCTCCCCGTTTTCATGCAAAGCTACAGGAGCCGGTGGGGGTTGTCACCAGGTTTGGTGTCTCGGCTGGAAGCAGCTGGGAGCCCTGCCGCAAGAGTTCCCTCTGGCGGTCGGTGACGGGGCACGGAGCAACGCCTCCCTGGCCTAAGATGCTACTTTTACGCTGGAATCGTTTCTTGTTCGGTCACTCTCTGGCCATCGTTATTCCTAACAGCCTTTCCTTACTCAGGGCTTCTCCAGAGAACGGCTGGTAACCTTTTCCACGTTCCCTTTTCCTCCCGTAGTTAACCCCCGCGCTCCTCAGCAGCTTGCTGCCCTTGAGCCCCTTTCTGCGCAAAGGCGACGAGAAAGGCGCAGCCCTTCCGCCCAAACCTGCTTCCCCCGCCGGCCTTCCGCAGGCAGAGGGATTGCGGCCCGAGATGAATGCGAAGGAAAAACAAAGCTCTTGGCCGCAGTCTCAGAAGAATAAAACTACATCAGCTTGTCATTCTGAAGAATTCACTGTTAATAACAATTCTGAAAGAAGCTGTAAAATACCAAGAGAATGTTCCGTTCACCTGCTTGGCAGTAAAAGCCCCACCGGCACCCAGGCCTGGTTTTCCTCTCTGATTTGGTTGTTCCTACCCATCAGCCGAGGGATGATTTTTTCCTAAGGAGCTCTCAAACTTCGGCAACCGATCTAAAGCCCCAGTTAATCGGCAGAAAGCTTCTTGCTGAGTTCAGTGAGCGAGGCTTGAAACTGTGCCAAGCGGAGAGCGCTGTATATAGCAACGTTCTGTCCTAGGTGACATTCAAGGACGTTAAAACAAACTAAGGGAGCATCTGGGTTAACCGAAGGCTTCGTCTGCTCGCGACAGCGGCGCGAGGCAGCCTGGCGTCGCGCAGTCCTGCCCTAACCGTTCCTCGGGGGTTGGGCTTTGTCAGCCTGGCCCAGATGGCCTCTATCAACACTGTGTTCTACTTACAAAACTAAAGCGAAAGGAGGAAAAGGTGCATCTTTCGGTTTCTTTTCCCTGTGACCTCAAGAAATAGCGTTTCTGCCACAGAAATCTATTTCCTCTTGCAATTATTTCTGAGCCCACTCCTCGCAGGAGGCGCCTGTGTCCTCTTCGCTACCGGCGTCCACCTTACGCGCGCCCGGCCTCTGCCACAACCGCTCGCACCTGCCTCGGGAGCGTCACCGGCGCCAGACGCTGGCTACGCGACGTCGCCACCACCCATAGCGCTGTTGGTGGACGCAGGTGACGTTCGCTGTTGTGCACAGACCTCCGCACAGAGAGAAATAAATAAGCTGGGAGCGTGTGAGGGGTAGCAAAAAGGTAGCTTAGGGTTATGTGTACGGGGAGGAGCGTTTTTGTTGCCAGCTGCAAAATTTCTTCACGATGACGTCAAAATTTGCTACTGAGTTTTGCTGGGAAGTACCGTCAGTTTGGGGGGAGGGCTGTGGTAAAACGTGCAGAACTGGGGAACGGAGCAGTCCGAAACGGAGCAGGACGGGAGGGTCCCGCAGCCGGAGAAATATCGGGAATTCTCACGGGAATCGGCTGGGTGACGGAACGGGGCGACCGTTCGCGGTGGTGAGACGCGCGGCGGGGCCCGTCACTTCATGGAATCACAGAGCCGCCGAGGTTGGAAGAGACCCTTAAGATCGAGTCCAGCCGTTAACCCAGCGCTGCCACGTCCACCGCCGCACCACGTCCCCAAGCGCCGCGTCTCCCCGTCGGCGCTACGTCACGGCAAACGACGGCGAGGCCGGAGCAGCCCTCGGCTGGGACCCGGCTCCATCGTGCGAGGGGGCAGAGCGGGCAGCGCCACCAGGGGACGCAGAACTCGCGGGGGCAGATCAAAGCCGCGTTACGGAGGCCGAGAGGAGACGGGCCCCGGGCCCCGACACAGAGGACGGCGCGGCCCGGCAGCAGGAGGGCGCAGGCTCGCTGCCGAGCGCTGCGAATCAGCTTCGTTTTATCAGAGGCGCCTGGGGAAAATGGCGGCGCGGCCCTCGGCCTCGCCGTAGCCCTGGAGGACCGGGGGCGGCGCGCTCTCCGCGCCTCTCTATGGCCGCGCTCTGCGCCTGAGCG